GCTTTGAGTTTTAAATTGAAACTATGCAATAATTTCCATACATGAGTGAACAATGCTGAAGTTACCAAGTGTGCACATGTTTCATGTTCTTTTAATCTTTTTTCCTCATCATGTGATCCACTGTTGTGATTGAGTAAACTCCTAAAATCATCTGCTGTCTTTTTTTCTGCATCACTTATAATTTTCCCTAGCTGTATCTTGTGGAGAGCCACTGCCTCCATTGAACGGCCGTCGTATTGGCAATGACTTCCGCCTGTCACAGACAGTGTCATTTGAATGTAACGAGGGATACGATCTCCAAGGGGAGCAGCAGATCAAGTGCAATGCTGGAGAATGGATAGGAGACGTACCGTACTGCAGAGGTGAGTTACAAACTTACTGTATATATGAGAGGGATTTGTTATTCTGGAAATCTAGTGACTGAGTGATGCGTCAAGAATTAAAAATCAAATCTACCGAGTTGCTTTGCTGTCTTTGGTCAGTTATGACACAAAAAGTGAGGTAAAACCACAGCTCCACAGCATCTGAGACTTGAACTATACAGTAGGTCGGAATGGAATAAGACTCAGTTTCCTAACACATGGAGGTGAAAAGGTTATCGTGTGTACGCAGGCTCTACAACATTTCTGTTCCAAAGCACCTTCTCTTTTCAAGAAGTGTTAATCTGCCAGCCTCATTTAGCCATGGTTTCTGCTACCAAATCCCTTTCAAGTACAGGCGTTGAAGCATCAAAATGGGTGTGGCGGTTACCTATGTCCTCTCCTCTTTGAACCCCACACCTTTGTCTTTCATCCCTCTTGCCGCACTCCTAGAACAATTTTGAAACAAAAACAAGGGTTAGTTTTGTCAGTGACTACACCCATAGACTGCCAATGGGAGCCCCCCCGTCTCTCTGTAATATGTTTCCACTCGTCAATGGTTCTGTCCTTCAAAGAAGCCCTGCTGACTGTAGCCAATGCAGTTAAGCTGATCTGTGTAAAGCTTCAATGATATAGTTAAATTTACTGGCATCCAGTTAGGTACCTGCTCTGGGTCCAATAACTGTTTGCCTGCAGAGAATGGAAATATGCTGTTTGTTCGACTGTTTGACCAGGGTCATAAACATACCAAACGTTCCAGTGAAAAGTGGTATTAATTATAAGTTCTGCTTGCTAGGCTCTCAAACCTAAAAGCACGCACAAAACTGTTGCCCCAAACGAATGTTGTTGCTGAAAAAAACGTGACATCTCTCGTTCACAAATAGAGCCTATTGGCAAATTACGTTTTGCATCGAACTAGTTGTAAGCTTGTTGGACCCATATCTGCATCCCTTTTGGGGTGTGATATCGGATATTTTCAGTTTGTTATGTTTAAATGAACCAGGAAATGAACTTTCCTTAGAATCACTCTTGTGTATATCTGTACTCTTCTTCCATGTATGAAGACTGTTTGAAATGTTTTTTTGAGTTTCATGAACTGAACGGTGCACTCTTTCAAACATTAAAAATTGACCAAACATTTCTGGACAAATGAGGGCGCTTTTGCTCTGATGTAAATACAGGAAGACATTCTTCAGGTTGCAGGTTTTCATGTTCAAATTGTGAATCCCAAATTTGCTATCTGGAAACATTTCTGTGAAAAGGGTGTTTGCGAAATTATTGCCATCTACTTACACAGCAATACATTGCCAAAGAAAATAAAATCTGCCCTAGCAGTGGTTAAAAAAACCTAGAATTTTTCTGTGCACAAATCACTGCAACATCGAAATTCAGTGCCTTGGATGACATCATAGTTTTGCTCATGAATATGAAAATACAATTAGCATAAAAACAACAAAGCATCAAAATATGGGTTAAAAGTGCAAAACAAAAATTTTAAATTAGGTTAATTGGAACCCAAAGATGTAATTTCAAGATTTTTTGTAACATTTATAAGAAATATTTCTATTTCATGGTTCCTTTAATGCCAAACAAATGAGAACGAATTAATATTGGTGCTTTATGTTCCACTGCCAGCTCGTGCGTGTCCTGAGATCCGCATGGAAGAGCTCGACCCCAACCTGAGACTCAAGGTAGACGGAGGTACATCTCAAGGCTCAGTGTTAGCATTTTCTTGCATATTAGGATTCCATAATGTTGGGGAAACGTTCCTGACGTGCCAGGGTGGACGCTGGTCCCATCCCTTCCCTACTTGCAATGGTGAGGCACAGTTTTGTTTTGAATTAATGAAAGACGCCATCAGTAGGGCGTCAACAGGCAGTCAGGAGTTAGGCAAGATCTAAATTGCTTGATTCCCACTATCATCTAACACTGAAAGCCTTTTCATCTTAAAACATGCAATGAAGGAAGTTTAATCTTGTCTCACGTGTGTATAATCGTTAAAAGTAAAACCTTTTGCTGGAAATGCTATCTTTCGGAAAAGCATTTTGTAACTATAATTTTGACTTCCTGCAGGAAGCATTTATATAAGCGTAGCCTATCAGGTACCTGAACATAATCAACTTGAAGAAAAGATCTATTTCTCAAACATGGCTTTGACAGAACCGTTGCTGTTCAAAGATTTGCGACAGATGTGCAGTCGCACTTTTTGAAATAGTTTAATATTGAACAGGTTATATCTTACCTCGGCAAGCCCTTATCCATATTTTGGTAGCTAATGATGAAGATGAGCTTGACACTGGCACGTTACCAACGCCAGACACTTGCAATTGTGAGGTCTGGCAGAGATGTGTACCAAACAGCTACGGCCAGTGGACGTGCAACTGCATTAACCCCCAGCAGTGTGATGACACCACAAGCCACCAGCAATACTGTGGGAGTGACGGCTACACGTACACCAGCATCTGCAGACTGAAGGCTACCGCCTGTCTGCTCGATCTAGACATTCAGGTCGCTAGCCAGGGACCTTGTCCGGAAAGTACGGCAGATTGTTGTATTTGTTCCTTCTCCAATGTGAGGCATAAAATCTGTTGAAACGTTCTAAGAAGCAAGTAATTGTTGATGTGGAAAACTCTGTTCATCTTGTTGCGAAATAGAAAAAGTTTAGCATACAAGGTTCACCTTTTCAAGGTACTAGGTTCCCTTAAACACTTCAGAGACTTCTAGGTAGTTGAAGTTTCACCAAGATGCAGTCTTCCCCGCTTTGCTGTTACTGCATAACATCGTATGACTAATCGGAGACACATTGCGCTTTATACTTGGTGTTTGCAGGAGACCCTGTTTTGGATGAGAGCAGTTCCGAAAGTTCACAGTCATCCATCTCTGATCCTGAGTCTACTACCTTGATATTTGCCACTCTAACGGAAGGGCAAGGCAACGACAGTGTTCCACCAAGGAACGAAACTCGGCAAGCCTCGTCCGGTATGATTACCCTCTGTCAAAGGCAAAACTGGGATTGCAACTGATCTTGCAAGACGATCTTCTTGAAAATTACTTTCTTTTAAAATGTCCAAATCAATTAATACACCAGCGGAACTTAGACATGTAGTACGAGTTGCAACACTGGCTTCTTATACTACGGCAAAAATAGGTATCAGTCACGCCAATTATTCAGTGCCTCCTGCCTTGGGCATGCAATCTCTAAATTTTGTGCCTGGCTCAAAACTGCGTTTAAATGCAGAGGAAAAAATGTTCGCCTATCGCATTTGTGACAATTAAATTCTAAATGAAACATGCATGAAGACAGACACCATACATGTAATCCCATGAGCCGCTCCGCAAATGAGGACTGGAAAGCCCAACGATTTTGGGAGTGTGATCGAAACTTTTTCGAGCCTGGGGAATTGTCAAAGGTAACGATTTCTGTACGATGTCCACATGGTGCATTGCCTTTTGGCACATGGGGGTCATGATTCAGGAAGATTTTTTTCTCAATGATCTTGTACTCCGATATTTCTGGGGCTTGTTGTAACAACCGTGCTTCGCCCAACACTGCAGGAGTGCATGCCATCGTGCCGAAAAGGCCTGACAGACTTTTCCCACGCAAACTTCGTAAACCCAATGATATCTGTAACAATATTTTTATTATTCCATCAAGGTAACTACTTGGCTTGTGGGTACAATACCGATAGGTACAATACCAACACCACTCGTCAGATCTGGGGAAGGATATCAGGTGGAGACTATGCAGAGGAAGGCAAATGGCCCTGGCAGGTGGCGCTATTCTGTCGTAACTGCAAAAGATGTTTGGTAATACAATAAATAGTACAATATGTATGATTAGGTAATTCAGTGTACGTACTACAACTTGCTTTTGCTTTAAGTTCAGTCAAGAACTACTCAGTGACTACTGTTCGACTAATTTGGCTTCAGGGCTTGCTCAAATTTGCGCAAAGGCTTGCTATTCTCAAAGTTTTGAGGCATTTATATTATTCGGAGTTACCTCATCAGCGGGATAAAAAACTGGGAAAATTGAGTTACTGTGGTAGAAGTACAAACATCCAAGCTTAAATAAGTGCCTCTCATGCCACAAACCAACCTCCAGTCCATCAGTGCTTACTGATCCCAAATTTATCCACCGACCGCTTTTGCCCCAAACACGTACATTACAATCTCAAGAGCCTTAGAAAGACAGAAGAGCTTTGTTCCCTGAAAGACAAATTGTCAACGGCTTCCAGAAAGTGGAACTATCTTCACTGAACCGTCAACGTTTCTTTCTGATTGTCTTTCCTTTTGCATGCAGGTATGCACATGAAGTCTATCCCAAATTGATCGTTTTAGTCGTTTCTCGTACCACGCTGTGCATGTAACAAATAAAAATGGTCACCCTATGCTGTTCATTTGAACGGCTTTTAAAGTTTCTGTCATATTCTTTCAGCCAACCTTCTTCTGTGGCGGCAGTCTCATTGCTAGTAACTGGGTTCTGTCAGCCGCACATTGCTTCAAAGATTGCCCAGCGTCCAACATTAGAGTTTATACGGGTAGGTTGTCTCATTTACATGAATGTGATTTTCCTCCGCAGTATTGTTTCCCATCATGCCTTAACACGATTGACCAATAGGAAGAGTGAATTTGAGTCCCTAGTTCATGGGCATTCTCTAATGTTTAATGATCCGTTTAAACAACACCTTAATAAAGTAACGCTACGGTATAGACATTGGGTGTTTCTTATCTTTTGTGTCTTATCTATTGCGGTGTGATATTTGATAATCCTTGCGTAAATCACTTCATGTACCAGGTGAGCCATCTTTCCATTTTGTTGGAAAATCACATCCAGGCCAGTCACAGTGTTTGGTGAACTGCCTAAAGTGGGGTGTTACATTCACCACACTCGGTGTTATCAGAGGAATTCACCAACACTTTTCAGTATTGATAAAATTAATAGTGTTATTTCAACACCCGTGGTGTTACTTTTAACTCCTTCCATTGCATTGTAATACTTGTAGGTGTGTAAAGTAACACCAAAAGTGTTACTTTAATTAATGTGTGGTCATTTGATAACACCAAAAAGCATTGTTTTTAACACCACAGGTTTTGCAGTGACCAAAACAAGTTCCAATTTTCAGTTTTCCGATGTAATGTCAGACAACAGACCCTAGCTGTGTGGTGACAACCTAGTTATTTTTTGGTATTTTTCACATAATTAGAAGAATTAATTAGATAAAAAATGATCGATGTTGTACTACCTTTTATCACTAAGTGACCCTTGCACTTCAGAGAATAATTAAGCTTTTGCATATAATAAGTACGCGTTCTTGGCCCGTCTGAGAAACTGAGGTCTAGCTGTAGGAGCTAGTACAGTTCCAAGCTTTATTTGTATACACTCGTTGTTAATGCCGATACTCTTCATTTCAGGGTTTATCGACAAATCTACATCATCTCTACAACTTTTCGATCCAGCCCTGGTGTATACCCTTGATGGTGACGACGCCCTGATAAAGCACGAAGCATTCAACTCATCGGTCAACCTCGATAATGATATCGCCCTCTTACGGCTGAGTTGCAGTGTAAAGCTGAACTCGAAAATAACACCCATCTGTATGCCACAATTTGTTGCAAAAGGTAAGGGTTGCTTCAAGGCCAAATAAAACCATTTGTTTTGCATCCTCAATGTAAAAAAACTTCGGTAGCTTTTAAGACAATCCCCTTGCATCACTCACCAAACTCCTGTTGAAACTTACGAAGGGAGGCTCTACTGGTAAAGTTAAAGTCGCTGCATGAATGAAATAAATACAGCCCCAAAATGCAATCCCCTTTCTCGAAACATTGCAGCTCACAGTTTCAATGCAAAATTTACCCTCCCTTTCAGCTTTGCCCAAGCCTATCGCTCCTAACCGGAAAATTGTAGTCTGAGTCACTATTGTGATAACCGCAAGGGAAAGAATATGTAACTGCTGAGGTAATGGAGAGCAGGAAAATCTGACCAGAGAACCCTGTCCAAGCGGATTCAATCATTTTGCACTCGATGCCATGCACGAGTCCCTCGCGTAACACTCTGGATTTGTCGTGGTTATTGTATGATGCTTGGCTGCAGATTTTATATAGTGCGAATAACGTAACCTTGGTGTCTGTTATTCATTGCATTGA